TTTTTTGGTAAATTCAGGTACTTTAGGGGCAAATAAACCACAAAGTTGGCATAGATGAAAGTAAGAAAAATTAATGCATGGTTTGTTGAATCTTTGTTAAAAACATTACATCTGATCCTTTGGAAGGCAAAGAGCATGGAAAAGAATATTTTGGAGATTATATTTTGTCTCATTCAATAATATAGAAACTCACATACACACAGACGCACACACATATGCATTCTCTCTTCTGTTTCCTCTTTCAATGCCCTGTGATTTTCATAGATACATTTTCCCCCAAAGATCTTGAAATGAATTTTATAGGTGTCTGCAGTGGGAAACATTAACACGCTTCAGAATACGACTGAATTTGGCACCTGTAATAAATTTCCAGTGTCATTCTCTGAACCTGATAGACCTTGCTGGAATTTTAATAGCTTCTCCACATACCTGGAAATACAGCTACAGCGTCTGTCACCTTTAGAAAATAATCATTCTGACATGCTTTATTCACTTACAACTCACTTGACACATTTTCAGTTACATTTAAATGTAAACTTCATTTAGTCCCTCGTTTCACATGGCAAAGGTTAGGGATTCATTACATAAGTTGTTTCCAGAGATAGAAAGACCTGGGTCAACAATGTAATGTGCACATGTTATTCTTGTTAAATCTTATGTGTTCAAAATATATTTTCAATTAATTGCCAATGTCTTTAATGGGAATTAGGCTAATGGAAATATCAATATTTGAAATCTTTAGCTTGAAGTATTTTCCTTTCCATTTTAATTTTAGACGGCACAGAAAGATTTTGTATTTTGGAAGCATTAGCTAATTCTCTTCTGAGCTAGGATGATTTGGCAATCTCCTGAGGAATGCAACTTTCCTCCTTTGACTGAAAGGGAGTTTGGGGTTCAGAGAAGTTCAGAAAGAAGGCAAAAGCTCAAGATTGCCTTGGTTTAGAAAAGAATTGTCTAGCTTTTCACCTGCGCGCTAGTCCACTGCTGCTAGACCCATGTCTCTAGGACTAAGGCCATCCTCATGTCCTCAGGCCCCTGGTGCGTATCTTGGCATATGATTTAGATGGGGTGGGGCTGCTTTGTAACTGCTCTGTGGCCTCAGATTGTGTCTGGCATTCAATTTTCAATATGGTGTGGGGGTCAAAGGATGACCTTAGTCTTCAGGAAGAGCATTATTCATTAAAAAGAGCTCAAAATGAGAGGTTGTCCATTGCCATGTCCAGTTGGGCAAGATCTTTTCTGAAGAAGGGTCCAAATGTATTATTTCCCTGTGTGTATTATTTCACTTGGACCTCTGCAGAAAAGGAAAGAAGGATGGGAAGGAAAAAATACTGGGTAGACAGTGGCGAGTTTTATCAAAATTTTTTTGCAGATAATGCCAGACTGGAATATAGCTTGATATGAAAATGGTTTCTAGAATTAATGTTTATTATTCTTCAATAAAGGGATGATTCTGCCTTCCAGACATGGCTCAGGAAGTGAGCTTAAGGACAGACTGTTCATTATAAAGTGGTGCTTGTTAAATTACATTTGTATTGGCCTTTGGATTTCTCAACAAGCCTTAATTCTGCATAATCTCTTTCATCCACTGAAAGAGCCTTGTGAAGTAGTTCAGGTAGGCATTTTTTTGGTCAGAGGCAAATAAGGACTTTGAAACTCCAAAGAAGAGCTTCTGAAACTGTTCACCAGACCACACTGCTTCCCTGGAGGAGCTGTGAGAAGAAAGAAAATGCTCGCTTAGTGAGCACGTTAGGAGCACATCACGTATTCCTTCCATTCGAACAAAGGCTTTAGTTCCTTACTTCTGTGGCTACTGTCCCCACCAACTTGTCTTCCACTCCCACATGCAAGCTGAACACAGCTTGGAATATAAAGCAAGATGGAGACCTCACCACGGAACTCACAACATTTACCTCCAAAGGGATTGTAGACCTACATGTAGAATGCAAAACTATAAACTTCCGAAGGAAATGGAGGAGAAAATCTATGTGACTTCTTGAAAGGAATTGCTAAAGAGAGCTTCAAAAGCTTGGCCCATGAAAGAAAAGAAAATTGGTAAGTTAAGCATCATTAAAATTAAATCTTTGGGGAAAGAGGAACAGCATCCAGAACAGAGCACTTTGCTCCTCTCTAAGGGTGGAGAGCAGAAATGCTCAAGAAATGCAGAATTTCATCCAGCACTTCTCTCAGATTATCAGGGTGCTGACTGAAGATGACACAGGGCACCCAGAAAGAGGAGATGTCATTGCCTGGCTCAAGGAGGTCCTAGAGTACAAGGCCATCAGAAGCAAATAAAACTGGGGCTTGACGGTGCTGGTAGTGTTCTGGGAGCTGGTGGAGTCAAGGAAACAGGATGTAGACAGTCTGCCGCAGGCACTGAGTGTGCACTGGTGTGTGGAACTGCTGCAAGCTTTCTTCCTGGTGACAGATGATATAATGGACTCATCCCTTTCATGGAGGGGACAGGTCTGCTGGTATCAGAAGCCAGGAAAAGGTTTGGATACTGTCAATGATGCTTTCCTTCTGGAGTTCCACTGCCGGGAGCAGCCCTACTACCTGAACCTGCTTGAGCTTTTCCTGCAGACTGCATATCAGACAGGGTCAGGCAGACTCTGGATGTCATCACAGCCCCCGAGGACCATGTAGATCTCCGCAAATACACTGAAAAGAGGTACAAATCTATTGTCAAGTACGAGGCAGCTTTCTACTCCTTCTACATGCCTGTTGCTGATGCCATGTATGGACAGGGAGACTGGTATGGACAGGGAGAAGCAACACAGCAGTGCCAGGAGGATCCTGATGGTGATGGGCAAGTTCTTCCAGATACAGGATGATTTCCTTGACCTCTCTGGGGACCCCAGCGTGATGGGAAAGATTGGCACTGACGTCCAGGGTAATAAATGCAGTTGGCTGGTAGTTCAGAGTCTGCAGCGAGTCACTCCAGAGCAGCACCAGATTTTACAGAATTATGGGCAGGAGGATGCAGAGAAAGTAGCCAGGGTAAAGACACTGTACAGGAGCTGGATCTGCTGGCCGTGTTTTCGCAGTATGAAGAAGACAGCTATAACCACAGCCTGAACCTCGTCCAGCAGTGCGCTGCACCACTCCCCCAGCCCGCTTCCTGGTGCTGGCAAGCAAACTCCACAAGCGGAAAAAGTGACCTGGAGACCACAAGGGCAGGGAGGGGCTCAATAAATTATCATAACTCTAAAAAAAATTAAAAGTTTGACCAGGGAGATAGCTTAAATGCCCTGCAAGCACAAGTTTGATCCTCCTGATAGAAATAAATAAATAAACAAACTAATTTCAGTCTTTGAATGATATTATCTAAAAGATACAAAGTCAAGTCACTGACTGGAAGGAGGTATTTATAAGTCACACATTCAATAAAAGACTTGTAACCACAATATTAAAAAACTCTTAAATATTAGCAGTAGGAGAACAAGAAACCCAATTAACTTATTGGCAAAATATCTGAATGCGTACCTCATCAAAGAAAATAAGCAGATGGTAGCTAAGCGTGAGAGAAGACACTTAATTCGTTTTTGTATTAAAGAGAAAGGGAATACCCCTATGTACAGATTAGAATAGTTAAAACAAAACAAAAAAAAAACCCCAAAAAACCCCAACCCTGATAATAGTAATTGCTCACTGGCAAAGGTGAAGAGTGACCAGAAGCTCGTTCACTGCTCGTGGGAGTGCAAAGTCTACATCAGCAGCAGTGTCGTGGCAGCAGTGTGTCCTCATGACAGTGGGCAGTGGGATGGCATTTTTATCTCTTAATCTTCTTTCCTGTAACTCAGACTAATCATGAGAAAGAAAGGTCAAAAAGCCCAGTTGAGGAATACTATATTTAATCCTTGACAAGTACTCATCAAAAGCTATTAAAATCATCAAAACCAAGAACAATTTAAGAAGCTTGCATAGTCCAGAGGAATCAAGGAGACACAATAATTAGGTGTAATATGGGGCTGGCTGTAGTGAACACATTTGTAACACCAGTACCCTGGGAGACTGAGGCAGGACGATAGCAAGTTCAAGCCCAGCTGAAAAACTTAGATTCTGTCTCAAAATGGAGTAGGGGCTGAGGACTCTCAGTTACTGCCAAGTAGTGAAAAAAAAAAAAGGAAAAAAGGAAGAAAAATATAAGTATACTAGAGTATGCTGAATGAACTCCTCAAACAGAAGGACATTAGGTAGAATTTAAGGAAATATGCATAAATTATGAATTTATATACACATAATAATCAATATCAGTTCATGAGTTGTGGTTTTCTATACCATACTAGTATAGTATGTTTATAGCAGAAAAATTGGGCATAAGGTACGGGACAATTCTCTGTACATTATTTGCTTCTTTCTTTTTTCTTTCCACAGGACGAGGGATTGAACTCAGAACCACTGAGATATTTCCCCATCCCCTCTCTGTACATTATTTTCAACTTTCTGTAAATAAAAACTATTCCAAAGTAATAAATGAAATCTGAATTATTTTAAAAATAATCCAAATGTTTTAGTTACTTTTCTTGCTGCTGAGGCAAAATACCTGACACCCACAGCTAAAGGAGGGAAACTATATTTCAGCACACAATTTATAGTGATTTCAGTGCATACTCAGTTGGCTCCAAGGAGTCGTGGCAGAGGGATATTGCAGAGGAGAAGTAGCCCATGGCATGGTAAGCAGAAGGCAGACAGCAGCAAGTGGCAACACAACACAAGCCTCTCTTTCCCTTTTATCCCATCCACAACAAGAGCAAACTCTGGGAAGTCCCACCTATGGGTGCATGAGGCTTCACAGGGAGTGGGGGCAGGGACTAGAAACAAGCCATAACAACAAATAAACAAAATGGAACAAGTCTTAAAGAAAAAATAAGAATACTTGAAATTCTCGGCTCTCCAGTCCTGCCACCCCTGTCGCAGTCATGTAGTTCTTCCTGGAGCTATACTTCAATGTAGACAATGGCTACTTGGAGGGACTGGTGCACAGCCTCAAGGCTCGGGTGCTCAGCTAAGCCGACTACTTCAACCTGGTGTGGTGCAAAACGCTAGAAGACTTGAAGTTGCACCTGCAGGGCACAGACTATGGCAACTTCCTGGCCACTGAAGCCTCACCTCTGACAGTGTCAGTCATCGATGATAGGCTCAAGGAGATGGTGGTTTAGTTCCACCACATGAGGAAACATGCATATGAGCCATTTGCCAGCTTCCTGGACTTTATTACTTACAGCTACATGATTGATGATGTGATCCTGCTCATCATGGGCATGCTGCACCAGTGCTTCATTGCTGAGTTTGTACCCAAGTGCCACCCAGTAGGCAGCTTCGAACAGATGGAGGCTGTGAACTTCTCACAGACACCTGCTGAGCTGTAGAATGCCATTCTGGTGGACATGCCCCTGGCGTCTTTCGTCCAGGACTGCATCTCAGAACAGGACCTTGATGAGATGAACATTGAGATCATCCGCAACACACTCTACAAGGCTTACCTGGAGTCCTTCTGCAAGTTCTGTACCTTACTGGGCAGGACCACAGCTGAGGCCACGTGTCCCATCCTGGAGTCTGAAGCAGACAGCCGCGCCTTCATCTTCACCATCAACTCTTTTGGCACAGAGCTGTCTAAGGAGGACCGTGCCAAGCTCTTCCCATATTGTGGACGCCTCTACCCTTAAGGCCTGGCTCAGCTGGCTTGGGCTGATAACTATGAGCAGGTCAAGAATGTGGCCGATTACTATGTGGAATACAGGCTGATTTTTGAGGGTGCAGGCAGCAATCTTGGAGACAAGACCATGGAGGACTAATTCTTTGAGCATGAGGTAAAACTGAACAAGTTGGCCTTCCTGAATCAGTTCCACTTTGGAGTCCTCTATACCTTTGTGAACTCAAGAAGCAGGAGTGTCGAAATATTGTGTGGAATGCTGAATGCATTGATCAGCGCCACCACACGAAGATTGACAACTATATTCCCATCTTCCAGCATCCTGACCCAAGGCTTCCAAGTGTCCTGTGTGTGTTTGTGTGTGCTGTGATGAAGCCTATGGTTCACCTGCCTGTCCTGGGGGTGGGCAGCACGTTGTCTTGGGGGCTGTACAGCTTCCCTGACACCTCCCTGCCCTACCCCAAATCTTAGATCTGAAAAGAGCTGGGCACTTCTCCCCTGACCAAGAATGGACTAAGACCCCTCAGCAAAGCGATGACCCATCAGCCCTGTGTTTACAGCCACTGACATGTCTGAGTAACATGTGGTTGCTTTCATGCCCCTCCAACCTGAGTACCCTACGGACACTAAGAGCCTTTTTTTTCAGAGCTGTGGCCCATAGGAAGAGTAGAGCATGTGTATCCTTGGGGCATGGGAAAGTAGTTCTCCTTCAGCTCTGGACCTGAGACAATAAAACTGCCCTCTTTAATAAATAAATAAATAAATAAATAAATAATAATTCTCTACCCACTTTTATGGACTGCCAACTACTTGACAATTATGAAAGCAGGCGCAGAGTTGAAATGATCAGAAAGCTACATGGATGATTTCTTTAAAAAAATTCTTCCCAAGGTCTCACAAACTGATTCTTGGACTTGGATATGCACACAACTATTTCATGTTGTTGGTTGCACTCCTGCACATTGTACTTCATGCTTGATGTAAGGGAACTTCTACTTTAATTAGTTCTAGGTGATTTGGACCTTGTATGCTGCCCTTTAAATCTAACCATTTAGATTCTGCTGTATCTGCTGGAACAACACTCTCTTGCTGTAGTTTATCCTGCTTGGGGACTTTGGATTCTGTCCTGTAGGCCAGTGACAATGATGTGTTATGTATACAGGATTATGGTTGATCCAGTTCTCAGCAGCTTTTCAAAGACGAAAGGAAGAAAAAAAAGCAAGAAAAGAAAAAAGAAGAAAAGAGGAAAAAAAAAAAAAGAACTGAAAAACAAAAAGGAAGGACCCTCCAACACTTTTGCCCTGTTTTCAAGGACAAATTCACATAGGTCCTGTGAGGCTTCCTTGATTTCCCGTGGTGGGATACATCATTCCGTTCCTCCCAAGGCAGCAAAGCTGACAATGTTTCACACTTCAGCATCTGCTTCAGATCTTGCAGCATAACGCCATCCTCGCCTGAGCTCTCTAGATGGAACCTCTAGGGGCAGTGGCTTCTGGTAGCTGAAGGGGTTGCTATAATGAAGACTGGAAGGGAGCTGACGAGCAGCAAGGAGCAAGGATACAGTCGACGTTTTCTTAGTCTGTTTTCTTAGACTCCCTGGAGGCGAGACTGAGTTCTTCCATAGTAAACATTATATAACCCTCTCTTTACTGCCACGAGCCATGATAATAGGTAGTAGAACCTCTGTACAATAAAGTTTTAAACTGAAACTAAATTTTGAGCTAAGCCAAATATAAAAAGAAAGTAATTTTCAGTAAGTAATATACAGTTTAGTTATAAATGCAGTTTTAATAAAGGCACAGTTTTTTGTAGAAGCTTAACAGGCAAACAAAGAAACCCAATCCACACAAATTTCTAAAATATCCCTAAGGTGGCACAGTAATGAATACCCTGTTGAGAACACTGGGAAACCGTATGACCCATGGGAGGTGTAAATCTGGAGATTATGAAAACACGTCTCTGTGATTTGTTGCCCCTCCCGCTGCCTTTTTTGTCTGAGGTATTATGGAATCTTGATTGATATCAGGAAATTCTGCTGGTTTAATCTCACAAAGCCCAAGCCTAGTCATTTTTAATTTGCTCTACAAAGCCCCAGATTAGTCCCATGCAAAAGTGGTAAGTGAAATTTCTTTTTTTCCTTATTGCTCAGCTTGACCTTTCTCTCTGAAGTGCCTCCTTCCCTCTCTTCGACACTCCCTCCCTTTATTTTGGTACTGAGGATTGAATCCAGTTCTTTGCACTGCATCCTCAACTCCTTAAAAATAATTTTTCTCTGTGTATGACAGGTTCAGAGTCTTTTTAAAGTGCCCGGGCTGGATTCCAATTTGTGATCTTCCTGACTCAGCCTAGCAAAGTGTTGGTATCACAGGTGCTGACCTCTCTCAGTCTAACTGAATGTCAGCTGGAAAGGGCATCCATCCATCCATCCATCCATCCATCCATCCATCCATCCACCCACTCATCCAATAAACAGTGTCTTTAGATCCTATTGGCAGGTGTTGTATCAGGTGTTGCCAATGTAGAGAATGAAAGATGATCTTTTATTTCAACAGCATTTGCAACAGTGCATGCAGCACAGTGATAAATGATTGGTGGAAGGCAGCATGAATGGTTTCTTATGGATGATAATGCTTAGCAGAATTTAGAAAGTTAAGTGGAATTATAATTAGGAAAAAATGAGTAGGTCTTGTTCCAGGCAGAAGGAGGAGTACTTGGCAAGTTTACATAGGTCTGTGGCTAGAGCATGCAGCGTGCGTGGGGGTGGCTGAAAGTGAGAGGCAGGTGCCAGGGCCAAGTAGAAGGACGTAAAGTATTGGGTTGAGAAACCAGTTCATGGAAGGTTGCCTGCTCATGGTGCAGATGTAAAAGCAGGACCTATTCATCTGGTCAAGATAATTAAAACACAGTTCATGCTAAGGACTTAGTATTTGTTTGAGCCTCACCTCTTTTTGAAAATGTTCTTAAGATGACATGTAGAAAAGAATGTGTGCGTGCAGAATAGAAAGCGGTGCAGAAGGGAACATTAAGTAGGCTGAGAGGGTATTGTCTGTATTCACTCTACCTCTCTGTGCCCAGGCAGACAGTTTGGGATGGGAGAATCACACGATGCTGGACCTTCCACTGTTTCTGTAAGACTTTGACCTGAGCATAGCAATTATGAGAGGATTCCAAGCTCAGTCGAGATCTTCCAGAGAACTCGGAATTATGCTTGCAGTGGAGTGAAGTGTCAACACTGCATCGTGCCAGGAGGAGGGCCTGGTGCTGTGCATCGCTGACACTTCAGTCCACGGCTGTGAACCGAGCCAGCGGCTGGGCTGACTGTCTGCAGCCTAAAAACAGCCACAGTGGTAATGCTGTTTACTTTGCCCGCAGCCTCTCCTTGCAGCTGCCATCCTGCAAGCCTCCAGATACAGGGAGAGACAATGGCGAGAGGTGATGTGTTAGGATAAATCCTTTGCCAGTCTAGAGTGTGGCAGTTTGCCAAGGTTAATTGTAACTCTTGGTGGGCCTCCGCCAAGGTTGTCTGGGCTGCTGTGGGTGGTCAGAACCCGAAGGCTTCTTTCTCATTTTCACGGTGCAACTATTCCATATTCTCAGGCTTTGAAGGCTGCTCAGGTCATACTTAAGGAAGTGTCTTTCCCAGAGTTCCTGATGGGAAGAGTGTGGTGCATTTATTTAGTATGGTAGAACTGGAGTGAAATAGCATAGCCTGCATTTTAAAAGCAAAACAAACAAACAAACAAACAAACAAACAGGTATGCCTGAGCTGTAGTCCCTCAGATCTGACATATGAATGGCATGCATCAGTGCGTGGGCATCTTATGTGCAATAAAACATGCTTTGGAGTAAAGGGGTTGTTACAATTACAAAATCAGTCTTTAACAGAAAGACCTAGAAACAGCTGTAGTTTATGGGAAGATATGTGAAAACTGTATTTTTTGGTGGTCTGGACTTGTTTCTGTTTCTCATGCATTGTGGTTTCTGAATGCTTGTGGAGTAAAATGACTTGATCAATTATTATGATAATGATGCATGAATCAAATTATGAGTTTAATTATAATTATCATCTTTATAGGGAGTTAATTAATCATAAATGGGTATATTATATAGTCTTTCTGTTTAATGAAATTCATTATAGAGGCTCCCAAAGGCCTAAATATAGTTTTAAACAAATTAAACTCATGACTGGGGTTAAGGCCATTACTGAAAATGTGTTCTGGATTAGTCACTAAAATGGACTGAAGAAGACATTAGGCCCCCAAATGTTAAACCATCAGGCCTTGGTGACATATACTTTTCCTGTGGTACACAGAACATATAACTTTGGGACTTTTGGAGTAGTCTTGAAATGTAGGAATAAAGCTGAGTCTATAAAATTTACCCCACATAGATGTTCCAAACAGCTGTATTCAATACCTTTGAGTATGAAGCACATTGTTTTAAAGTCTTTTTTAGAATTAATTTTATTGAGAAAGAGA